CGGTGGGGCCTGGTGTGCGAGTCGAAGACGTGGCGGCAGGCGGCTCAGTCCATCTACATGGCCGGGATCCTGCTGGGCTCTGGCATTTTTGGGATCCTCTCGGACAAGTGCGCTCCCGGACCAGGGTCTTACTGGGATGAACTGGGGTGGCAGTGGGAGGGGGAGGGGGGAGCTGCCCCGGCCCTCCCCCGGGGTCTCCCTGTCCTTGTCCACCGAGTGCCCCGTGTCCCCATCCCAGTATGCCCAGTGCCTCGCATCCCCAGCACCCCAGTGCCCCCATCCCAGTACACCCAGCACCCATGCTCCAGTAAGCCCAGTATCCCCAGCTCCCCATAGCCCCATCCCAGTACCCCCAGCACCCCCATCCCAGTATGCCCAGTACTCCCAGCTCCCCATAGCCCCCATTCTGGTACTCCTAGCACCCATGCTCCAGTATGCCCAGCACCCTCAGCTCCCCATAGCCCCCATCCCAGCACCCCTAGCACCCCCAGTGCCACCATCCCAGTATCCCCAGCTCCCCAGTGCTCCCATCCCAGTACGCCTAGCACCCCCAGTGCCACCATCCCAGTATCCCCAGCTCACCATAGTCCCCATTCCAGTATCCCCAGCACCCCCAGCTCCCCATAGCCCCCATCGCAGTACCCCCACCTCCCCAGTGCCCCCATCCCAGTGCCCCCAGCATCTCTAGCTCCCCATAACCCCCATCTTCGCCGTCTACTGCCTCTGCCGCTGCCTCGCCGGCCTCGCCATGTCCGGCATCACCCTCAACTCCGCCTCCCTCTGTGAGCCCTTGGGCCCAGGCATCCGGGGAGGAACCCCCCTGCAAAGAGCTGCCCCAGGGCGGGGACCCAGGCGGCCGGGGAGGACTCCAACACCGTTGACCCATGGGAGGGACCCAGGCATCTGGGCTCAGACCCTGGAAGGGACCCAGGCGTCTGGGGAGGACCGCACCACCGTTGACCCATGGGAGGGACCCAGGCATCTGGGCTCAGACCCCAAGAGGGACCCAGGTGTCCAGGCAGGACCTCTCCACCATTGACCCATGGGAGGGACCCAGGCGGCCAGGGAGGACTCCACCACCGTTGACCCATGGGAGGGACCCAGGCATCTGGGCTCAGACCCCAAGAGGGACCCAGGTGTCCAGGCAGGACCTCTCCACCATTGACCCATGGGAGGGACCCAGGCGGCCAGGGAGGACTCCACCACCGTTGACCCATGGGAGGGACCCAGGCATCTGGGCTCAGACCCTGGAAGGGACCCAGGCGTCTGGGGAGGACCGCACCACCGTTGACCCATGGGAGGGACCCAGGCATCTGGGCTCAGACCCCAAGAGGGACCCAGGTGTCCAGGCAGGACCTCTCCACCATTGGGAAGGACCCCGCCACCCATGGGAGGGACCCAGGCATCTGGGCTCAGACCCTGGAAGGGACCCAGGCGTCTGGGGAGGACCGCACCACCGTTGACCCATGGGAGGGACCCAGGCATCTGGGCTCAGACCCCAAGAGGGACCCAGGTGTCCAGGCAGGACCTCTCCACCATTGACCCATGGGAGGGACCCAGGTGTCCAGGCTCAGACCTTGGGAGGCACCCAGGTGTCCGGGAAGGACTCCGCCACTGTTGACCCATGGGAGGGACCCAGGCATCTGGGCTCAGACCCTGGGAGGGACCCAGGCGTCTGGGGAGGACTGCACCACCGTTGACCCATGGGAGAGACCCAGGCATCCAGGGAAGAACCTCCAACCACTGCCCCATGGGACGGACCCAGATGTCCAGGGAGGACCCCACCACCGTTGACCCATGGGAGGGACCCAGGTGTCCGGGCTCAAACCCCCACAAGAGACCCAGGCATTCGGGCTCGGCCACCACCACGCGCCCTGTGGGAGGGACCCAGGCATC